AAGCAAGCCGCCAAGTTGATCACTCTCTGTTCATTGCGTGCGGTCATAACGGTTTCAACTGCTTATTTCATTGTGTGGAAAAACTTTCATTTACTTTGGGTTAAAAGATGGGGGTGGTGGGTGGGGAGGGGGTATGGGCTCAAGCCCCTGAGCCCTTCACTACCCACCGCCACTGCGATGAATTCGAGTTACACATGTTTGACAGTATTTTTATTTAGAGAGCGTGCAAGCCAGAGCTCGCGCTGTTGCTTCACCGAGCAGAGGGTTTTCGAGTTGTGTTCCCTAGCAAAAGATTCTCTATTCTCTGGTTCTATGGTCTGCTGAGATAATAATAGTATTAATAGAAAGCGCATAGAGTGTGCTGTGGAGTGTATGCACTATCAATTATCATCATTATTATTATTATCATTATTATTGCTGTTACTGATGAAATGTTCAGATTTCATGGATCTGTAGCCACTTGACAATAAAGTCTTATCCAAAACGGACATGAAATCAGAATTTCCTTCTATCAAATAGTCTCAACAATGTGATGAAAGTGGCGCAGAACCTAAACTATGCATTCAAAGAAGATAACCTTGAAAACCCACACTCACTAACCTTTATAAACAATGACAAAAAAGTGAACATAATTTGGTTCGTTTCGGTAAGAATTTTACGACACTCACAAAACGCTTAGGTTATATAAGTGCTGAGGATTGGATTTGAGGTTAGAGATGTTACAAGGGAGCACCGTTGTAACAAACACACAAAAAAAGGAGACAAAATAAAGACAACAGATATTTGGTAGGAAAGAAGATGCAAAAACACAGAACACCTGCCAACCATGGCACCAACCAACATAAAAGCATAAAAGCTACGCATCATTGAAATTTACCAAAACATGTTTATTATACATTAATTAATTGAAATAATGATGTACTATAAATAATTTACAAAGAACTCCTAAAAAACCCACACACACACACACTACCCAACCCAGCATGGAGGGAGGGGGGTAAGAATGAAGCATGGTGGAGTGGCTAGGGTACTCGCCCCACAATCTGAAGATCTCCACATAATTTAATTAATAGAATTTTTTTAAAGACCCTTTAAGGCTCCTCATACTACCATTAGACTACAGATTAGTCCTCCAAATAAACTTCAAAACATAGGTAATGCAGCGTATTTCAATTATATATTTCATAAAGTGTGACTTAACAAAACAGACTAACTAGTAGTACAAGTGATAGAAAAGGCATTATTAATTAAACTTTATGTGAGAGGGGCTCTATAATAAATCATAAATTGAAATTATTATGTTTTAGCTTGAACCAAATTATCATAGGGCATGAAGGGAAAATTGTTGTTCAAAACTTCAGCTCTGAACTTGTTTAACTCCATCATAAAACTAACTGTAACTGAAAGTATTTTTTGCCTTCATCGACACTCATACAGTAGGAGAACAATGAAAACTTCTACAAGTATGGGTCAAGAAGACTTTGAACCAAAGCTGCCAAGCATACACAACCAAAAAGTGTGAAAGAAAATTCAGGATCCTGAAACAAAACATAGGGAATTTTAAAAATTATTCAAGCAACTTGGAAAAAAAAAAAAAAGAACGGGAGAGGGAGTCCCTTCTTGGGGCTGTTTTATGCAAAACATACAGTTTACAAATGGTAAGCAAATTGTAAAATATACAGCATCCAGTATGCAAATCGTATACAACATACAGTATGCAAATCGTATAAAACATGGCCAGTGCTAGTCACCAGATCTAGGGTGGCTAGCATTTTGCTACTCGACCGAATTCGGTCCAATAGCCTGACGCTACTGGCCCATGGGAATTTCGGCGACTTTGGGTGGTTAGCATTTTTCGGCCCACCCGGAGCTGGTCACCTAGATCTAGTCGTAGTCTTATGTAGCGTAAACATGGCCTTGTGGCCTTCCGAGAGCACAGCTACACCTCTCTGATAGGCCCAAAATAGATCATAGAAGATGTTTTTCGGCCATCTATTTCTGTTGTCCCATAATACAAGTGTAAACAAACATTCCAGCGCTGAAGGGAAAAGCTGATTTAAAAGCGAGAAATTTTGTCTGCGGGCAAAGAGAGAAAAAGAGAGAGTGAGAACAAGAAAGAGAGGGGGAGAGAGAAAAAGAGAGAGAGAGAAAAGGGAGGGGGAGGGGGGGTGTTTTTGTCATTAGAATGACTGATTTCAGTTGTTTTCTCTCTGCGTCGGTTCACAAGCAGACCTGGTGCAATACAGTCATTATCGTACACATTATGGCCAGTCCTGTCTTCATACATGTATTATAACAATGTCAATTTGGTCGGATCATTGCAGTCAGAGTCAAATTTTCACATAAGAAATGTAACTAGTAACAATCTGACAAGACTATTAGATCTATATATGAGCCTTTCCTAAAAGTTCATCTTTCTGAGGTATTGTTCTCTTTGTAGATTTATTCAGGGAGAAAAAGAATGGAAATGCAATCATATTTGGTGTCAATAGATCCAGTGAACGCCACTGATAAGCTGGGAGAACAGTTAGGTAGATGGGGGAAGTCGTACTGATCCCACTCTTGACATGGAGGACAAGGAGTGACTGAGTGACTGAATCTTGCGCGATAGATCATGTGATTTAACAGAGCATGCGCACAAATCCCCACGAGCCAGAACATGGTACATGCACAGAAATCCTCACGGGGCAGAAGCCACAGGCTAGGCTAATCGACCGAATTCGTTCGCACGCAACAAGCGCAGAAATCGCCATGGGCCAGTAGCGTCAGGCTAATCGACCGAATTCGTTTGAGTAGCAAAACGCTAGTCACCCCAGATTGGGTGACTAGCCACTCGGATAACACATACAGTATGCAAAACGTACAATATACAACACACAGTATACAAAACAAGGTCAACATAATTGATAATGAAATATCACAGATTTCTCCCCCCTTTAACTTTTCCATGCATACTCATTTTTCCTACAATGAACATACAAGTCCAGACCTGAGAGAGAAAATCTGACACCATATATGCCGATTCTACGACCCAAATATCAAATAAAAATCATATTCATTCACACATGCCTAAGCCCCCAAAATGAGTGAGGTTTTAAGAGTTTTGATAAATGAATTAAAGGGAAAACAAAAAAAATGCGACGCATCATATTGAAAACCCTGACCTGATAGTACAGCTGGGTCGGGCTCACTAAATCAGCATCCGCGAGTAACGAACTATTTGCTGACACTACCCCCAAACGAGCGGACGGCTAACGAGCCGTCCACTTGTGAAGAATAGTTCGCTACCCGCTACACATCGGACAGAGACAACAGTTT